TAAAGTACTACACAATAGTGACATCTGGAAACTAGATTTTTTCTTTTACTTAAAATATTTTAATCACCTATATTTCAAATGTGGTCTTTGGTAATTTTTGATCAGTTCGTGAGCTCCATGAATACAGCAAGGCCAATCATTAACTTACTCCCCTCTTCTATGATATCTTTGGCATTTTCTATCCATCAGACCGGCATGAATACACTTGGTATGTACACGTCAGTTTTTGTGTGGTTTCAGGGACTTGTTAGTTAAAAGTACAATCTTATCTTTATATGTTTTTGTTCTACTTCTTGGCTTAGTCTAAAAATGCGATAAGGTGAGCACATAGCCACTATTTGGTATAACTGCAAAACATATTAGGGGATTAATCAGTTATATAATGGTCGGGATATCTGTACTATATATATTTTCCCTAAGCAAAAAGGGTACATGGATTACAGGTATAATCAGTTAGTAGTCTAGGCTTGTAAAATAGCATTTCATAGAGGATTATTCTGTGGGGTATTTTAAGGCAATATAGACATCTTACAAAGGGCCCAGAAAGGATATTTACCTAATTCTAAGGGTATACCCAATATCCAAAACTTTCCATACGTCCCAACAACAGTCGACTATTAGGTGCCCTTTTCAAAAGTTTAGTTGGTCATCAGTAATGTATCATTTTTGTTTCGAAAAATTTCAAATTATCATAAATCTCATATCGTGTAATCTATATTTTTGTGATGATCTCACGTGTTTTTTATTAATACATATACAATCTATACAATACTTCTGCGGTCTTCTAGACGTCACGGCAGATTGTTTAAGAATATCAGTGAAGACAGCCTTTTCAGTGTTCTTCCGATGTTGCTAGATATGTTCTTTCATAATCAGAGTAATGATTTGGGATTTAGGAATGCAGCGTTTCACACTCCAAATTAGCAATTGCCTCAGAACTGTCAAACAAAGAAAAGTTGCGTTACAAAATGTTGAGACTGGCAATGAGATACAAATAAATGTAACATTAAAATCGTAAAAACCTGACACCTTATTTTGTTCATTCCAATTTCATGTCTTACACAAACACCTTTTAACTAATAGTATTGTGTTTGAAAATCCATATTTGTTTAGGGCAAAAACATTTAAACCAGTATTAACTTTAAACAGGCCTAATACATCACTAACCGTCATTTGAAGTATCTAAAAGGTGATAAAAATGTAGTAAATGTGCGAGTTTTTTCATTAAGTTCAACTTCTTCATGTTCTGAATTTAAAAGTAAGAGTACCTATAAAACACAAATTTGTAGCTATAAAATATAACGTATATCGTATACGTGAAAATCTAGATGTCTCAGATCCAAGTCTGATATACAGGAATGTATTCTGGTTTCTCACAACGAAAAGCAAAGAAAACATATGTATCAGACCACATTTACAGTTGTAGTGCTAAAATAGCGTACAGACATCGACTTTCAACTCAGTCAGTGAAAAATAGCCACTTGGACGCAAAATGCAGCTTAACATGTAGAACATAATATTACCTGTATAGTTAACTCATTTAAGTTTGGTTCAAGGAATACCTCAGAAGTCAGTGATATAAAGGTTACTTACCCAAACGAAGGTTTCTTTCGTGTATCGGGAGAGTGTTAAGCATTTTAGCACAAACGATTACCGACATTTAACAGAAACCGACGACACTGCCATATGGGATTTATTTATCTTAATTGCCCTATGTGATTTTATACCTGTAAAATACACTATGCTATTCATTCAATGTATTCTAGTTCTACTGACAGGCTATATGTGTTGACAATATTACGCAGCACCAGGTTAATGACACCATGATATTTTAATGAGGTTTAGTTTTGACCTCAATGTGATTATTGTTTTTTCATGCGGACAGCTAACAGGTGTTGATGTATATTCAATCAACCTATATTTGAGACAAACTGGAAAATGCATTTGTATAATCAACCATGCTTGCGTCTATCAACACGCCATCTTTTCAAACCACGTGACGTTTTTTATATATCTTTAAAATTATTTGTGCTATCTCCACTCAAATGATGTATAAACGATATGTCAAAAGCAATTTCAATCCATTTTTTATCATTTATTTACATTTGTCACTTTCTTTGGTGAACACTTCAGATTACACCAATTTATTACATTAATGGATTTGATTTTAAATACATTTGTCAAAATTGTCATCATTTTCTCTAATTTGAAAAAGTTTGTGCAAAATAAAACAAATCGTACTTATCCCTGTGTAAACATGTCTATTTTCTTTATCAGTATTTTTTCTAAATCCAATGTACCGATTCAGTTTACTGAATTAAAAAGACAGTTTAAAGAGCATAACCATTTATTGGAAACTATGTTTATTTATTAGATTATACTATTTTACTACTTCATACGGAGTGGCTTAAATCTACACTTGTAACCAGAGATTTTAAAACATATCTAAATGCACATGTGTTAATATGAGTATAATAGTTATTTGTATTTTGCAGGGTTTTAAAGGTCTTACTTGCAAATGTAGAATTGCTTAACCAATCGCCAGTGGTTCTAAGATATCTCAGCCTAGTATGTGATTGTAAGAGTGGGAGGAACAGCAGTTCTGCCACATGCCGTCTCACTGTTTGTTATAGCATCTTGTACTGGCTCGTCGTCGACAAATGTAACGCATATTTTACATTTTCTTTCAGGATAAATAGACGCACATGGACGAGTTCTAGAGTGGATATGCACTAATATATAAAGGATTACGATCATAGGATAAATATGAGTAGAATATGAAAAGATGATATAAAGCGATAATAAAGTCAGAGTACAATACATACATAGCATGAAATAGACCTACAATAGTTTATACAGAGGTAAGTACACATCATATGGAATTTTTATTTTATTTTTTACAAAGTCTCTTAAAATTAATTTAAAATAAACTCTTTTGTATATCTTGGCGTAAGATTTTATTAGTTTAGACAACCCCTAACAAACAAAACATTGTTAGTTCTAAAAATGGTTTAAGTGGCATGTAACGCATGTAGTATCTTTTAGGCGTTTTAGAAAATACTTACAATCTTGACTTGGAAACTTTTATCAGTGGTGTGCAAACATTCACGATATCACAGCACAGATTGTTTAATGAAGAATATAAACTGATTTTGAACACACCAATAAATTACAAACTGAGGGGGACATTTCTTAAAAATAGCAATAAACAAGTGGGAATGCCTTTTTCATTGACCCAATGGTCACAGTGACCTATCATTTACAAGACTTGCACATGGTTTAGATTGTAAAAAGCTATCGACTTCATTCAAGTGTTTCCAGACGATCTCCAGAACCAACGTAACATGCAGTTAAACGTGAACATATTACAGTATCATGCTTTAAACGTTATCTATTACGGTTATAGGTTCCTAGATCTATATTGCCCAATTATTAGACGGTAGTATGGAGTTATATGTTTTTGATTGCGGGTATACTTTACTCCGAATGGCATTCTCACCTCCTACACAATTGTACAGTTTAACTCCACCTCTTGCAGAAATAAACCAGACTTTTCCTTTGGGACTTCAATCTCTGGCTGTTAGGCTGTGCCATTTCTGACACCGTCAAATCCAACATAACATATCTGATATCCGTCAACACAATACCATAGCTAGCTTAAAACAAGCGCAGATAGACAGCGATTAAGAAAACATTTATTACATCCGAACGATGCAAAGTATGCAACAGCCTGCTGTTGAAGTTTATTTAGGACAACAAAACGATGGTATAACTTTCTAAAGGCATTCCTAATTATAAACAAACCGTTATCTGTTGCAATGCGAAACGTTCTTGTATTCACCTGCTTGCTTTATGATTTTAAAGGAACCGTGTTGAAAGTAATGGTGCCACCTGTAATGGTCTAGCGTACGATACAAAATAAAAGCAATAGTCAATGCAAAAACGAATGATATAAAATATAATTTAGTTGAATAAAATTCCGAATTATTCCTGAATCTAAAGATTTTGGCACTGAATTGATTTTGAAAACAGCAAGTCCTTTAAGTATCTGCATGCATGCGAACCACACTTCCTCCACTTTTGCAATTGGAGATTAAAAAAACAGTCAACAACATGTTATTTTACCCGATATTCAGTTGAAAAACGTTTAAAATTCACTGGTACACAGGTGACTGTGGCAATATTTCATTTGGTGGAATGCTGTTTATTCAGACACCATCTGTGTATTGAATCGGGTAATGTTGTTCTTTCCGTCACGTAAAGACACACTGCCACGTTGGTTGCTTAACATAAACTGCCCTTTCTCAAATGTACTTCATAATATTCAGTTTAACAAAAAGAAAGGAGTCATTAAGAGCCTTATCTCATTAACCTTATTCCCTAAATCATACTTGTGAAATTGTATTTATTAATTTTTTCTTCCAAGATACTATGGTATAATGAGTTACCATAGCAATAATGAAAAAACCAATCAAATGACAGTGGTCCATTCATTTTTGGTGAAATGTTTCTACATATTCTGTGATAATTAGACGAAGAAACATTTCAAATGAAAACAAGTTCATTTTCTCATGAACTTGTTGAGAAACCTGGCAGTATAGGTCTATGTTAAGAATTCTAAGACGAACGTATATTTTCCAATATGTCATTAAAATCAAATAGTGTAAACGTGAATATTCAAACAAGTCTTACTGAAACTAAGAAAAACAATTTTCATAAAACTAGTCCACACAAGTTAACAATATATAAAAAGAGAAAAATGGTTGATTATCTGTAATGCATCTTCTGCACAAACACAAATGTGATTGAATTATCCCACCTTTAATCACAAACTCTTAATGCAATTTTTCAGACCATTGGAATGATCACATGTGATTGACACCTGGGTGTAACATATGGTATGTCAAACACGACACTCATGTCATACAAATCGTAAAATCCATAGTTAATACTGCTGTACAATACTGTACACTTCAAAAAAGTTTGAAGCAATAAAGTTAGAACAGCAAATAGGAGCTCGAAATTACAATACCCCGGGGGAAAGCAATCATTACGTATTATAGTCTCAAGAGTTAATGGAGATACAGAGAAAATAACAAATATTACAACTTAATTTCAGAGACATGACGCGTTTATACAAAACAAAAGTACAAAATGTCCAACTGATGCATAACCATTTCCCTGTTAGAATATGCAAAAGATATATTTTTGGGGTAGCTCTCTTCTTTGGTATATTGTTCTCTATACAGTATATAAAAGACCATAAAAGGGCGTTGACTAATAGGAAAAGACTGTTGGTTCACAGTAGAGATATACCAGATAGAAATAGAGCTGGTGAGATGACTACACTGACTGACATCGTCAATAATGATGTGAGCATGGTAGTTGGAAATGAGTTTAGCAGAGAAGAAGAAAGTGATCACAAGGATAAAGAGAACGATTGGAACACTAATGATAAAAATGATTTCAGTGCAACAGATAACAATAATGTCAATAAAATGGACGAAGATGTCACTATTGTGGTTTCATACTTCACCTTAAAAGATTTCCAAAAAGGGTCAAAAGATATATGGAGGAAATCAAACGATTATGAGAAATGGGTCCAACCATTGGCATTCATGAAAAATCCTTTGGTAATGTACACAGACTCAGAGTTGATCAAACGTTCATTACAACATAGTCGATTAGAAAATAAACTCGTCGACACGAAGATAAAACTCATTGAGCAAGACAAATTGGAGACATTTCAGATGAAATCCAGTGTCAAAGCTATCTTCGAACAACGACGTTATCCCAAAGCCTACCCAAACACAATAGAACCCGGTTATTCTTGTGCAACAAATGCCAAGTATGAAGTCACTCGCCTTGCAATAAGATCTGGTGATGTAAAAACAAATCATGTCTGCTTCATGGATGCAGGCTATATCCGTAATCCCAACATACAAAAGTACTTCACAGTTCATATGCCTCCTAGTCTGGACCCACAGGCTGTTGCATACAGCACTGTATACAGGAAACGTTCAAATATGAGTATGGCAGTTATGGTAAAGCATAACTATGTATGGTTGGCCGGTGGATTGTTTTGTGCCACAAAGGACACGATGTTAAAATGGACCATTCAGCATTGGGAAACTTTCAAGAAGTGTATTAAGATGAGGCAAATAAGCACCGATCAGCAGACGATATATTATATGAACCTCACTCTTCCTCTGACACCTGGCACAGTCTGGGTACAGCCTTATACATACCCCGGAAGATTTGTCGAACCGTACCATTACTTAGGAGAGCTGTGTTTCGGTTATACCAAATTAGGAAAACAGTAGATCGTAAAAGACTTTCTTAAAACATGATCGTCGCATTATACTCAAAAGTTGTTTGACAACTTCAGACTGACTCTGACTGCACTCAAAACGTCAGGCTTCTATTTTTTCAGATCCTTTATATTTTTAGTTTTTTTTTCAATTTCCAAAGACTAAATAATTGATATGCATACATATTAGGGATATCTAATCGTATAACATCTTTATCGCTATATTTCAGTTTCTCCAACTTCATCCCACAATACACAATTCGTACAATTAATAACTTTATTTTTGCACATATATAATTCTCTAATTCCATAATGGGGTTTATATAGTATTAGAGTCTAGCTAGGTTGTTATATCATTGTGCATTTTTGCGCATGCTGCAGTTTTTCACAAGCAAACACCTAGACAGTGAATGGTATGAAAGTGGAGAGCTAAATTCACGTCAGATATAATGGTAACACCAACTGTATTACTTAGAACACACTGAACACGAAAAGAATGTGTCGTATCAGATAACTGGGTAAGAACACAAGTGAAAATAATCTGGAACATGTATCTAATTCTGTTAAGTGGAATTAGTCTACCACGATTAAAACGATGGGCTACCCAGCGAACTTATTGGTACATATCCTTTGATTGGATCGTCAGGAGTTTTAGAAAGTATAATGGTCGATTCGGGAAAAATGATATTTAGTTTCACCAATAATCAGTATTGAGACTTCTCCTAAAGATTTATAGTTAACACTGCCTGTTTCTTGATATATTTTAACTTATGCCAAGACATCTGTGATTGTTTAAGCAAGCAAATGTAACAAATCTTATACCAACTGTGATTTAAAGGGCTTCAAAGGAGATAAAAGTTAACGCGTTTAACAAAATACTTAACATCTTTATAAAAAATCAAAATGCTTGATGAGTGTTAACGTATTTCAATGAAATGGGTGTCAAAGGTGAACGAATAATTTACTTATATTTTCTGATTTCAGTGATAATGAAGGGCGCTATTGCAACAGTTATTCTTGGGTTGACAGTCATTAGGACGGTGGTCTCACGTAAGTTCTGCCTCATTTCTTCCATCAATCATTCTTTTTAACCTGTTTGCATACCTTTCTGCTGTATGTAACATTTACATTGATGTTGTGCATAGTACCCAACTTTTTTAAACATTTTATTAGATTAACCTTATCATGATGAGAGTCATGAGCCAAAACCTTGTAAACTCGATCATTTAACCCAATTTCACAGAGCTCAACAACCCCATTCTTCACATTGGCATTGAGATTTCATGTTATCATTTCATCAATACAGAAACTTTACTAATCATAAATATGATAAATAAAATATAGGCTACTCATGTTTTTACATGTCCTTTTCGCTTCGAGTTTTTTTTAGCAACATGGCGATGTATCACAGATGAGTTGAATGTTAGTTGTAGCTGAAGAAATCTTTATATTTTGCACAGGCCTCGAGGACTATTTTGCACCAATAATAAATAAATATTCACATGTTCTTTGAAGAAGTAAGCGATACTGAAAACACAGAGAAAAGCACACCGCATCACCATCAAACAAAAATACGGAATAATTTGAAACGCTTTGGAAATAAAATATCAATTAGTGTTTGTTATTTTGGCTAGTTGTCTTGCTGGTCAGTTAGTTTAAGGTAATGCTACTCGTGCTCCTCTCTGTTGGAGCTTGTCTAAATGCCACTGGCATGTAACCTATCCCTTTTAACTCCCTTCAATTCCACACAAGACCTTAATTTTTGCCAAATAAGCAAATGTTTTTCAAGTCTAAAATAAAGAAAACCGAAAGTAACCTACAAATGCAATATTTTCAATACTTTGATGTGTGTTTTGTGTCCCACAGATGATAATTTACTAGTTTTGACAAATTTCCAAGTAGTTATCGTATAATTTAACAATTACTATCTTGGTAAGCCGCAGACCCTTCTCTTCCCCTCCGATAAAGCCCGCAATAGTTATGAGGTCTGGTTCATCAGAATGATAAATCACAAGTCTCCACTCGTACATTATGTACATGAGAATATCGTGTAGCCTGCCAATTTAGACCATCTTACGCAGCGTAATGAATAAACGGAATTTTTGCAGAATATATTTTTATTTGTTGTTTTTATTGCATCACTTATAGTGATATTTTTACTTGAAACTGCAATGTACTGCCAGTAAATGGACAATGAACAGTGATCGAGGTTTTGTTTCTGTGCACTTCACTACATAACGCGATGGAAAATCTAACATCCTTCACTTTACAAATGATTTCCACACATGTATGAACTGTCAAATATGCTATTGCAAATATGAATGCTTGACCTTATGAGGTTAAACTTGGATGATTGGCTAAATTCTGGTACAAGTAGTACTCATTTGTTAAAAATTACGACGCTGACCTTAAATTGAAAAGTACTAATGGCTGTTTCAGATCCATTCTCGACCAAATGCTCATCCTGTATCATCATTGAGTTGGTTGCCAGGGAAATACTTTATTACATCCGTTGTTGGGTCAAGATGTCACTCTATTAGACTTTCTGGCCGATTAACCTAGTTGTGCTATTAAATAGCAAGAAGACCATGTTGACCTTGGCCTAAATGTTAGTTTGACCCAATGTTAAGCCCAAGTGCCCACCCGTAGAGAGATGGATAAATTTAGAACTAGTGGTCTCTGAGATACTTGAGTCGTAATAATAAAAGATAAATCTCGGTTTCATTCTCTATTGCCCCATATTTGTACCAAACTAATATCTACCTTTTTAGGGACGGATCATTAAGCTTAGACATGAGTGGGGGATAAACTAACCATCATCTGCCAATAATTTCATTTGTTTCCGAAACTTCTTAACTGAGGATACTTGTCCACTGGTTATTAAAGTTTAAAAAATCCGAAGGTAGGTAATCCATTAGGTCAAACCCAGACAGTGCAAAATTTCAGACCGAGAAGAAGTCTAGAAGTCTTAAAAGGTTCAAGTCTTCAAGATCAAATGGTCTTGCCCACGGGGTACTGGCTGTCAGGAAGAACGTATTTTATGAATTGTAGACAAATCAAGCTGCGATAAGCATACCTCTGTTGAAAGAAACAACCAAAATATGAACCTAACACTTTGCACCAAGTGAACGTCAATATTGCCTACTGTCACGCCCAATAGTAGCAACATACTACCTATACTATAAATATACTAGATTAGTAGTTTCGATAAAATAAATTGATTTCTCTGATGAAATAATGTATCCAGTTCCTATTTGTCATCTACAATGGCTAACTCATATGAATCTTTTATTGTTATAGGGGGCACCATACACATTTCAGTGCAGGTGTCTCGCTCCCTTCATCATCTTTGCATTGTTGTATGTATATGTATTTAATAAATTAAAATTGAAAAAATCAAATGAGTCAAATAGAAGATGCTGTTATTATATTTGTATATTTTGACGTAAAATAAGATGATGTGAATTGTAATCACATCTGTAGCAGTTCATAGTGAAAGTGCTATATATATACCAGGTTACTCTATTTGGATACCATAGATCTACTGTAATTTTGTATAATAAACTCATCTTATATACATAATAAAAAACTTTTACTTATAAAATATTTAATAAAAATATTATCTGATAGCTCATCTATTTGTCAATTGTTAGAACATTTGATGAAATACAACTTACAAGAATGAACTACAAACATCCAAGATAGTGGATCGAATCTTCGGCTCTTCTGAATAAACGGCATCATCAAATATCAAATTTGGAATTGTTTGTAATTGTATTTTATAATTTGGAATTTTTGTTTTAAAGAAATATATTATTCATCGTCAGATAATGTATCGAAGGATCTTTCAGAAGAATGACTTGCGTGGGTTAATCTTGAATTTTTCCAAAGTGCTCCGATAAATTGATCATTGATCAACAGTTGGGGAACGGATGTCTAGTGTTCTTCAAAATGCCTCCTATTCCATTGAATGTTTGATGTTCTCTGATGGACGCTGTTTCAAGAAAGCTTGGTGGAATTTTAAGACATTCCAAAGTGCTCCGATAAATTGATCATTGATCAACAGTTGGGAACGGATGTCTAGTGTTCTTCAAAATGCCTCCTATTCCATTGAATGTTTGATGTTCTCTGATGGACGCTGTTTCAAGAAAGCTTGGAGGAATTTTAAGACATGGGCAGTTGCTGGTGAAAATATATGTGAAACACATCAAAGAAGGCTATATCAGGTGTTCGGAATCCATTTTGGTTTTACAAATTGCATTTGATTTCTCACTGTCACAATGCGATATAGAAGACTCCTCGTTGCCAAGATCTCCGAAGGATTTAATTTGACCTCAAGAATCATCCGTTGATTTCTTTTTATTGTATTGTTATGTACTCCATTGTATAAGTCTAGTAGTCTACTGACATATCAGTGACGACACCAAGCTTACGTCAGATAAACATTTGTTCAGCGTTTCGGAGATACTTGACGCTGACATTGACACTGACAAAGCAGATTATTTGGCCTTAAACGGCAATTGTTGCTTCGTTGAATTGATGTAAATGAATTCTTTGCGGGGAGTTTATTTTTTACCAGGAGGCTATTCTTAGTATTTCTGGGCTCACACAATTCGTTTAGATGGGTGTGAAATATTTAGATTTAAAAAAGGCTTTAAGGATCTCGTTCTCGAAAACTGATCTTATTGGAATAGGAGGAGCGTACACATTGTATGTTTTTTGGAACGAATGTGAACAGAAGTATGGGTTTTGGGGGATGGGGTGGGGGAGGGGTGTGGTGTACTGTTTTGACAAAACCTCCACTTTGAATTCGTATGCCCATTTATCAGCTGGAATGCGTAGGTGTAGGGTTATACCGTATGTAGTCTAGACGGTACACATCAAGCCGACCTATTACTCCCCTGAGCAGCTTGGGAAGTAGATAATGCTGAAAAATAAACAATTGAAATTGCGATACCTTTGGGATTACACCTTTTCCTGAGCCCATTACTTTATATTGTGCATACAATTCCTGAAATGCATTATCAGAGAGATTTCGCAACTCACTTATAGCATGTTCATTATTCCCGTATAACGTATGAAGCGTTTGATTACGTCATCGTTTATCGT